GATGTGAATTTGTGGGAAGTTGATTTTAATGTTTCTAAGTGGAAAGGAGTTTGTGAGAATTTTGATTATTGCCCCATAACTTGATAGAAGGAAAATAATACACAACTTCAGTACATGATCAACACCAAAATGAGCCCCCTTTATATATTAATATTGATAATATATTCATATAAGATATATTGAGGGTTCATTATGTCCACTCAAACTTGGACCAAATTTGACATGCTTTATTCTCAATGTTTCTCAATTCTTCTTACCTGGAAACTACTCTTGTATTTATCCTAACAATTACTCTAGTGCTATGCAAGAAATACTCAACTTTCAAAATAAGTTACATGATCTAGATGATGCGGAACGTGATATGTGGATTTTATTTATTTGTAATTTTTTTAATTTATGTTTATTTTTTTTATTAATAATTTAATTAAAACCTTAGTATATTTAGTTACTTATTTTATTAGAGATTAGGCTTCCAAATAATGTCATGATTTACTTTGTTATTTTTAATTAGGGTTTCCTACGTTGCCTATATATATGGCTCTATGTAATAGTTTCGGTTAGCTTTGAGATAATAGTATTGAGTAGTTAAAGGTTGTGGCCGTTTTTGTGAGATTAAGGTTTTGACCGTTGTATTCTTCTTCTCTTCTAGTTCTTCTCAAAACTTTTTGATCTTCTCTTTTAGATCAATTCTCCACATATTCTGATTTCAGGATCAATTGAATAGCCAATTTAGTACTTGATTGAAATAAAATAAAATAAATTTCAAATTATAGATACGTTTAAGAAGTATCAAATAGGTTTATGCTAGTATCCAAAAAGTATTGATACTCGATACAAATACAACCCTCATCTAGAAGTATCTGCATTTCATAGGTTGCAATGAATGTCAAATCTGGAGGAGAGGGACTCTGAAATCCGAATCAAATTGGGTGGCAGAAGTTCGGGTGAATGCTGGAATCTTTCCCAAACCCTAGAATGTTTGGTTTTGAAGAACATATATATATATATATATATATGAACAAGTAGATACTAATATACTATCTAATCAAAGTTTGATTCTTTGATTTTGCTATTAATACCCACAAGCAACTTAACCCTTCAAGTACAATTTAAAGTCTTTCCCTTACATCACACAGTTAAATGACAAAACTCCAATAGAGATTTTTTCAAAAATAAATAATAATAATAATTAAATAATCCAATCGAGATCAAGAAAAGCAGTTCCTTTCATACAAGAACATGTCACAATTCACAAAATCAAGCTTCATCAAGATTTTCACAATTAACAAACATCAAACTAAATCCTCAAATCCTAAACTTCGTTTAGCTTCGGAATGAATTGGAAATTTGAAACTTGTATAACAATTGTATATAACCGAAATAAACAAACACAAACATAGGTATGGACGTAACTACATACTCCCTCCGTCCCAAAATATTAGTCCCTTATTCCATTTTTCATTGTTCCAAAATATTAGTCCCTCTTCAAAAATCAAGTACAAAAATAATATAAATTTCCTATTTTGCCCTTCTTTTAAATTAATAAACAATATAAAAAGTACAATTATGACATTGATATTTCCAAAACATGTACTATCAAAAGGGTAATTTTGGAAAATCAACTTTTTTCAAATGCAATAATTGTACTACCAAAAAAAGTTGGTTTCCCCAAAAGGGACCAATATTTTGGGACGGAGGGAGTATAAGAAGGAAGACAAAGGAGAACCTAAAAGTCGAAAGTCTTGGAAGCCATCGCAAATAAGAAGCAATAAGAAAATAATTTTCTGAAGAAATATCGAAATATTTTAAAAAAAAACCAAACAAGACCATAATCTTTTTAAATATTTTTAGCATTTATTGTAAAAGCACATATTAACTACTCTTGTAATAAATAAATGATAAAGAGTGATGTTAGGGATCCCAAATAATCTACTAAATTTTCTGTCAAATCTCTCACATGTGTGAGTTTGTGTGGGTCGAAGTTTGGTAGATTATTTGGGGATCGTAACATTACAGGGGTGTGATGTGATTTTTTAGTTGGATAGGGGGGTGGGTATTGTTATTGGTTGGAGGTCATTTTTCATGTTTGTCGTGTGTTGTGTTAATGGTGGGTGTTTATGTGTAATGTGGATTTGTTTGGTGGTTGATCGATAAGGTTTTTTACACGGGTTGGCAATTTTTTTCGCATTCGGCGGTCTCGATGTGTCTATGTTGGTTTACTGATGCACGTTAGCACGTTTGGTCATCATGGTGGTTTTGTTTCAATTTGGGTTTCATTTTTTTTTTTTTCAATCAAGAAGTTAACTGTAATGGTGTCTAATTCAAAAAAATTATACATCACCATAATGTGTAATGTATGGAATGTGTGATGGTCATGTGTTTGTTATGCGCAGGTATGGATGCTGGGATTTTTTTGTTGTGCACGTGCGACAAAACCAATGCTGCTATTCGGTTGCATTATGCATCGACGCTCAGGAGAATGGTTGATGTTATTTGTGGGAAGTTTGATGGGTTGGTGCCGGGTCTGGTATACATGTTGTTCGACGTACCTGGTTACAATAAGTTCAAGGTGGATCGACGTTTGAATTTATCATTTCCATATAACGACTGTATACTAATGTGTAATACACACATGTTTGTATCATGTTGACAACGAGTTGAATAACATATTCTTTGTCATGTGCATTGCAGTGTACTTAGGTTATGCCTGTACAGGACTCGCTCACCAAACGTGCAAAACATTGTTCCATTCATGGACTCAATAATTGTTATCACTCTCCATAAACGCACTTCCAATGTAAACGTGTATGCCTTAACGATTCCTTACATACGGAAACAATTAATACAATCTCACAAGCTTATGGAAGACCCAATAATACATTTTCAAAGAAGTGTGACGGAACACATAATAACCAATATAACATTTCCCATCAAAGACCTAAACAACTATCGCAAATTTACGAATCACATACAAACAACACCTACAACAACACATCAGCCACCCATTCTGACCCATACTGGTTTAAAAATAAGAACACATTAAAACGATAAAAAAACACTAGAAAACCTTGACAGAACAATGTCCATACACATTGACAATATAACCACTACTCCTTATTTTCATATCGTTCAACGACACAGTTGAGTACGGTGTTAATGCCGTGTTATATAAGCAGATCCAACACATCTACAGTTCCACAACACAGGACACTACACCTAGGTTGGCCAACATGTAATACCAAACCACATAGACATTAGGATCACATAACCAGGACCACATTTTGGTTATATGGTTTAATGTGTATGTGGAATTCTCATATATCACCCATTAACATCACAATCCAATTGCAAAATGTGCCACAGGGATAATACCCCAACCTAAAAGTGAAAGAGAAACACAGAATGGTTGATCCTACCAAAAAAAAAAAACACACACACACATCAACACAAGATTGAATACCAGACAACGTTGCCAAACAATCTAAACCCAACAAAATTCAAAAATCTAACAGTGGTGGACCAAATACCCAGCACATACCACAAAAAAGGCATACAGCATCAGTATTAAACCCCAACGTTACAACCCCTAACTCTACGCTAGCAAACCATATCAATAGGCCTCCCATTCCCAACTCCTTTTCAAATAAACATCACTAACTTGGTCGTGGCGTCGTCATCTCCGCAACACCCATTCAACAATACAAATTCAACGTCTGCTGGCTCTTAACACCCAATCCCTCGTTCACACAATGTAGGGTTTCTGTATCCTAATGTGCCTCAATCTCACGACTTCTGGAAGTTGCAAAGAAGAACATTGGAACCCAATGTCATATTAATTACGCAACAATTCAACATTGGGAATACAAAATCTTTCCTACCCTGATAGTGTGAGATTAGATTGCAAAGGAGGGAAAACACAAAAAATCTATAGTGAGCTTGGTGCAAATGTGTAATTTCAGCCTATTGCAAAATCCCACATTCACCCTTTGTTTTCCATACACACGTGTTCTGCCCCTATCCCTTAAAGTAATTTCACTTATAACAGGACTTTTTGGTCCATAAGAAAAACCTAGGGACTAATCAGTTCACAAAATCTAAATTTAGCATTTATTGGTACTTCACCCAAACAAAAATGACGAAATAATATAATAAGGTGAGATGATATGATTGTAAATTATCCAAATTAAAAATAAATAAATCGGATGAATCATCTTATTTTGAGCTCACATCAAAATATTGGACAATTCAATTATTTCCAAAATAAATAATTAGAAACATAAAAATTGAATATAAAATTAAACAGAACCCTTTTACATGAGATGAATCTCACTTTTTATTAATTTTTTTTGACATTGCAAAAAGAATGGGGGTTTGAATTAAATGTTAAAAATAAAAAATATAAGATGGAACAAGCAGAGTAAACAATCATGAATTCTACAGAGCAACTCTGTCTCTTTTTCTTTTTTTTATGGGGTAAGGGCAATGATCATCAGTGAATGATGTAGGTAAGAGCCAGAGCAAGCAGCATGAGCACATATGCTATTCCTTGATCTACTGCCACCCCATCACTTGTAGGGGCAGGTGCAGGAGCAGGGGCAGGGACATGAGCATGAGCATTGATAGAAGGAACAACCAGAGCCAAAACAAGTGCCATAACACCCATCACAACAAAATTTACTCTCAACATCTCCATTTACAAAAAAATAAAAAATACTCAAAGCTTTCTTCTTCTTCTTGAATGAACCCTAAAAACCCTTTTTCTTTCCCTCTCCTATTTCCCTCAAATCATAGAATGAAATGACCATGCCCTAATCTCACTTTTATTAATCCTACATCAATTCAGCCATATATTTTTGCGCAGGTTGAATAATTATTGTTTACAAAGGTCAGTGACAATCTTAACTAATAAAAAAATATGTATAATTATTAGGGTTTAAATTAGTAAAATGGTAAATGATGGTTTTAGGTTATACTAACCAGAAATACTGGCGGTGCAGTAAACAAGGACGAAGATCATGCCGCCGAAGGCCCATGCGATGCCGAGGATGCCGACACCGCCACACTGGTCAGGGTTCTTGATGGGGTCAATCTGGCTCTTGTAATCGATGACGGTGAGGACGGTGATGTAGAGGAAGAGAAGTGTGGCTATGAACTCTGCAATGATAGCTCTGTAGAACGACCATTTTGTCAGCTCCACCACGTCCACTAGCGGAGCTGGAGGCGGGTCGTGGTAGTCCTTGGCTGAGAACTCCTGCTCTGTTACTACTGTTTCCTCAACTTCCTTTGCCATTCTAACAAAAGACCCTCTGTGTAGAGAGAGAGAGTAATGTAGGATGTGGAAGGTAAGGAAGAGAGGGGTAGGTATTTATGGAGAGAGAGAGATTGCGGGGAGACAATTTTGGACCCTGTTTGGAATGGTTTTCAAACCATGATTCCACCACTTTGTTAGTTTCCAAAGTTAGTTCTATCCTAAGGAAGAGAGGGGTAGGTATTTATGGAGAGAGAGAGATTGCGGGGAGACAATTTTGGACCCTGTTTGGAATGGTTTTCAAACCATGATTCCACCACTTTGTTAGTTTCCAAAGTTAGTTCTATCCTAAGGAAGAGAGGGGTAGGTATTTATGGAGAGAGAGAGAGAGATTGCATGATTCCACCACTTTATTAGTTTCCAAAAGTTAATTCTATACTCGAAGGCGGAAAAATTTGGATTAATTGATCATTCAGCCAGTTGACTGAAACAGTATAAATTTTTTTTTAATTTTTTTTACAATTGACATATGTTATTATTATATATTCAAAAAAAATATTTTTCAAATTTTTTAATTTTTTTAATTTATTTTAATAGAATTTTGAGTTGTATGTTTAGTTATGAGTTATAAGTTTTTGTATCAAATATCATATGTCACATCAAATTTCCCCATTCAATTCAAAAACTCTTTTCAAAACTTTTTCACCAAATAAATTTTCCATACTCAAATCTTAATTCCAAAATTCACAAATTCAAAATATAACTCATACTCTCAAATCATAGTTAGAAAGCTCTACCAAACGTAACCTTGAATGTCAAGAGAGAATGAAGGTTGATTAATGAATTTAATTAAGGAATTAGTTATGAAAATTTTGGAAAGAAAAATAGATTCCAGAGAGAGAATTTTGAATTTCAAGAGAATGGAAGTTGATTAATGAATTTAATTAAGGAATGAGTTGTGAAAATTTTGGAAAGAAAAATAGATTGCAGAGAGGGATTTTGAATTTCAAGAGAATGAAAGTTGATTAATGGATTTAATTAAGGAATGAGTTATGAAAATTTTGGAAACGGCTGATCTAACAAGTAAAATAGATACACCATCTCCAATCATTTGTTAAATTTTTTATTTGATTTTAAATGAGTAAAAATTTGTTTTGATATGGGTTATTTCAATCTTTCACTAAATTTCATCAAAAGTTTTTAAAAAATTACTTGTTCATCTTAAATTTTATTATTCTCTCCATCCCACTCAAAATATAAGTCTTTTCTTAAAAATTAAGGACTAAAATAATATAAATTTCTTATTTTGGTCTCTTTTTTTTTTTAATTTATTAACAATACAAAAAAATATAATTATGATAATTGATATTTCCTAAAAAATGTACTGTACTATCAAAGGATAATTTTGAAAATTAATTTCTTTTAAATTAATAATTGTATTACTAAAAAAAGTCTCTTTTTTTTTTTAATTTATTAACAATACAAAAAAATATAATTATGATAATTGATATTTCCTAAAAAATGTACTGTGCTATCAAAGGATAATTTTGAAAATTAATTTCTTTTAAACGTAATAATTGTATTACTAAAAAAAGTTAAATTCTCCAAAATAGACTATTATTTTGGGACGGAATCAAATTTAAAAGAAAAAAGCTTATTGAAAGATTTAGTTCATCCTTAATTTGACAAAAAATTTGGCTGCGTTTGGAGAAGCTCTCCAAACACATTTCCACCCATTGAATTCAGTATAGTATTTGTTTTGAGTTTTCAAATTATAACTCTACTCCCATTTTTGAAAACTCTTTTCTAGGCGGGAAAATTTGGCTAGCCCGGACGTCCAACCGGTTGATCGAAACAGTGTTCAATTTTTTTTTTGCACCTGTTATTTTTATATTTTAAATCAAAAATATTTCCAGAATTTTTAAATTTTTTTTTTATGAGCCTTGAATAGGATTTTAGGTTATGTGTTTTTTAGTGATTTTTTTATTGTTTATTTATTTATTTTTTAATCTTTTATGACCTTTTTCAAATTTTTTCTAAAAAAATTTAAATATTTACATTTTATCTGACTAGACAAATATAAAAAATTAAAAATATTAATATATATATATATATAAATATAATTTACCCCACCATTTGATACCACTACAAAATTGAGTGAAGAAGATGAAGAAACTTCAAACCCCTTTCCAAGTATTTATTTTTGTGAAATTTCATTTATGAAATTGTTTGAAATTTGCTTGAAATTAGTTGAGATTCTTTTTACTTTGTTTGAGATTGATTGAAATTTCTCTGAAATTGTTTGATTATTGTCTTTGTAGTGATTGTTGTTGTTGTTTTCTAAATTTGTTATATATATATATATATATATGTTCTGTTTTGGGGTGGGTGGGTTTTGCCTCTGTTTCCATCTCCAAAAATCTAGAAAATAGTATTTTTTATTATTATTGTATTGCTGCTGGATTTTTCCCAATGTGTTTGTTTGTTCCATAGAAATTTTGGAGCCAAATTCTATTTATTTGGATGATGATTGCCAAATGTGTTGCCAAATTTGAGGAAATGGCAATTGTCAAATTTAACAAGGGTTATAGCAGTCCACTGGAATAAGATTTTTGGAGACTATTACTAAATTTTGGCAATGGCAGCTCCAATAGCTTGCCATTGGAGATGCTCTAATGTGTGAGAAAAAAAAATTTAATATCTAACAACCTTCTGCTCTATGATTAATTAGAACATCGACATCAGTTTTAACAAATTTTGAGCCAAATTCTAATTTAAAAAAACTAATTTCTTATTTTAATTAATTACTGTTTTAACTGTATCATTCATTAGACTCTCTATACGTTAGCATGTTTGGTCATCATGGTGGTTTTGTTTCAATCTGGGTTTCATTTTTTTTTTTTTCAATCAAGAAGTTAACTGTAATGGTGTCTAATTCAAAAAAATTATACATCACCATAATGTGTAATGTATGGAATGTGTGATATGGCCATGTGTTTGTTATGCGCAGGTATGGATGCTGGGATTTTGTCGTTATGCTGCTATTCGGTTGCATTATGCATCGACGTTCGAGAGAATCGTGGTCAACCAAATTAACT